CACCTGACAATGGTCACCCTATTGGGGCATTTTTACTTGAATTTAATGTATAACGTCACCTTATCATTTCCTATTGTTTACCTCAGATGCTGAATGTGATATTAGAGAGGCAGGGTAATTACCCAGTATAATTATACTATAATTTATCGTAGCACTGAAATTACCAGGGACTGAGTTAGCATATGTATGTGGGGATTTTTATCAGTGTAGCGCGATGCCATTCGCGATTAATAATACTCGCTTCTCGAGTGGCGTTATCCCACCGAGTGGGAATAAATCCCTGAAATGCGTTCCCAGGAATACAGAGATATCCCGCAAACCCTCGTCCCGGTACGTCGTTATTATTCACGGAATATGACGTCGTAACGCACGGACGGAATTGCTGAATATCCTCGATATCCTCGGGACTTTTCCTCCCCTTAACAGGACCCCTCTGATCTAACGTATCCTTGCCGAAATTCCCGCTTAATCTCGTCCTCTTCTTCTCATATTCTTTCATCGCTCGGCGATAATGACGGATAATGAGTAAACGAACTTCCGAATGAAAATGGGGAATAAACTGGGCCCCCGTTCAAGGATACTTTGAATTTTTCAAAGGTATCCCGGTGGAAGGACGAGTCCTCGTCTCCTGGTCCTAGGCCGCCATTGTTAACCGATGATGAGTAAAGTCCTGCCGGAATTACCCGGGGAATATAGGCACAAGGATAATTAAATACTCCCACGCGTGGAAGGATTTCGCGATAATCCTTCCCTCCGGGAAGATCCTTCGAGTGCGGACCGATCAGGATGCCTCGGATAATTTGAGGATTCGACATGTTTTACCCGACTGCCTTTTTACATTCCCGCTCAGTTTTTATTCCGATAATCTGGGATATGTAACTAGGACGCGTGGTTCGGCACTTTTTACGTTCCATTTAATCGCGGCCGCAATTGCGCGGATTTCCCTGGTTTATGAAAGTCCACGTGAAATTCAACCCCTAAGTGCACGCCGGGGAGTAAGGAATTTTCCGCGACCCCTGGAAAATCCGCCTTTGAGCCGCGGCGATATGGGGCCAGTCGTTAAGCGAAGGGCGAATTTTGCTAACGAACGCGCCTCCTCTTCCTCCCAATTTCCCTCCGAAATTCCCCTAATTATTGGCGCAACTTTCGGGAGGGGGGAGGATGCAACCCATTCGGGACCCACCCCTAAGGCTGCCCGATTCGCCATTTCGATTCCACTAGCCATTAGTGCGTGAAATTTTCCGCGGATCGTTATCCCTCGGGTGGTTGCGATTTTCGAACCGCGCTGCGGAATACTGGCGCATGTTACGAGAGGTCAGCTGGGCCGGAAACGCAAACCGTGGGAAGAATCCGCGGTAATGCGTTCCTAACGAACGTGCAGTAATGTTTAGTAATTTGCAACAATGTGAAGCGATATGCAACAATGTGCAACAATATGCAACAATGTGAAGCGATATGCAACAATGTGCAGCGATATGCAACAATGTGCAGCAATATGCAACAATGTGCAGCAACGTGCACCAAGGAACATTGCACTTGTTGCGGATTTCTCCTAAGGGGGAGATATGAACATCGCCATTCCCAGGAAGAAGCTCTCCAGGACATTCGGACTATCAGCGAGGTACACGATGAGAAACTAATTGCGGGGTCTTTGGGAGGTACGATCGCAGCTGCAGCTGCAGCTCCAACTGCGCATGGGATCCTCGAAAGTCCGGCCACTTCGCAAACAGCGCGGGCACTAAGCTCCTGGCAATTTCGTCCTTTCATACGGCGAGAGGTCGGAACTTTAGCAACTCCCTCGGAATGATCCCGATTTCGATTTTTTTCCCTTTTGGGACGAGAGGGGAGGGAGACGCCTTCGAAGTTGCGAAGTTCTTCCGCGTGGTAGTATCGGATAAAGCTCGAAGTTGGCGCCAGAAATGCTTATATTCTGGGAGGTCTTTACGTATATTGCTTGTAAGCGATATACGAGCTGATATAGGTAAGAGAAAGGTTCCGACATCCGTGAAATTTGATGTTTTATGATAAAAAAAAAACAAAAAAAAATCCTAAAATGTCTAAATTAATTTCTAAGGATTTTCATGGGTGGAGGGACATTTCTTATGGCCTTCGTACTTACGGCGCGGGGTTTCAAACGATTCGGTACAACCGGTCTCGAGAGAAATCGAATATACGAGACCTCTCTGACGTAATTTTCGTCTCACCTTGGTCGCACTTTCCGGTGAAATGTTCCTACCTCGACGCGGTTACCCCGACGTAATGGGAATGACGTCCTGACGTTACGAATTTCGTTCCCATCGGTTGGCTCCAAATGAGATGACAGCCGGGCATCAAGGGCAGAGTGCTATTCATAGCTGCTACTCGTGACACCCCGACCAGATCATGCTACACGATCAGTGACTAACCTCTCGCGATGTAGCTGCACTTTCGCACCTGCACATGTGCAGCGAATACGCGCTTGGCACGACGTCCAGTATACCGCGACACGACGTCCGTCGTGGCTAACCAAACGGACAGGTACCCGATTCATTATCTCGGAAAGTAGAAGAAACCCCGTAAACTCAATACCGCGGGAAATAGATGGAAATTAAGGTGGGCGTCAAAGCGCTTATGACACTTTCCTCCGAACTGGGTGTATGGAATCGCTCGAAATTTAACAACGCGAACACGGAGGCTACGAGGAAGGTCCCTCCACCCGCGAAATTAAATTTTTTGCTTGCAAATTTATTTATATATGTTGAAGGAATTTTTTTTATTCTTTTATTCCCTTCTGACGATTCACCGGCTAGAGGTCTTATGAGCGGTATATGGGGAGGATGATTGCATCGCTCGATCCTCGCGATTTTTGTCGTCGAGCTCCTCCACGCGGTGTCTACTTTTAACCTTACCCTGACTCCGAATTTCTGGCAGTCGAGCGTCGGCGTCGACGTCGCGACGACCTGCCTGGTTGCCTGGTAAGAGAGTATACAGAAATCTATTCGCCCCGATCGCCGTTAAGAACCTTATTTCGTTTCTGCTCGTTCTGATAAAGTGCCTCCCTGTAGATACCGCTCTGATAATTACTTTCGCCATCTTCTTCCTCTGAGAAAGCGCGGGAACGGTTCCAGTTATCGGGATGCTTGCGTCGAGGAGAAACGACGTCCGTCGTTGGCAAACTCGAGGATGCCACGGCGTTGCAGCCAAATGATAAGGCGTATCGTTGTTTCACTAATTAAGGGGATGTCATTTTCCACTCTTTTTTTTTTCTTTTTTTTTTATACAGTTCTCTATGTGCTACTTGCCTCTTTTTAACGGAGTCCCCGCATTGTTAAAATTCTTTTCCACATATCTCGCTTATTTCTAGTCCGTAAGTCGTCGAGCTAACGGAAGATTCTCGCGACGTCGCGACGTCGAAGGAATTCCATTGGGCGGTGGCCAAATAGCCCCGTCGACGGCGCGCGCGTCGTTTACTTGACGATTTGTCAAACTATAAGCACCCACGACGGCGAAGATCGGCTCCTTCGTCGGCTGGTACTCCAGAAAGTTCGACAAGCCACCCGGGGCGACTTCCCTTCGGACACCCCCGCCGAAAACGCTCGTTTCCTTGCGGAAACGAGACTTCGCGGCGCATCAGAGAGATCGCCTTGACGATCTTCCAAGTTTGCCGAACGATTGATGCTTTCGGCGAATCGGGTCGTTGAACTTGAACCAGGTTCAAGGCCGGTTGCCGAACAATGTTCTTGGGACGGCCGACTAAGTCCTCGGAGGGTCGCTAAAAGGATATATACTGTTGTACGTTAAGGGGATGTGAAAGTGTTGTTCAACAGTTTCATGAACTACACTTAGTTTGTAGTCTTTTCAAACCTTACAAGGTCCTAATCCTCATGAAATTTCCATTGTTTATAAGAAATTTTCTGGGTGTCAGGACCTTCCTTATAACCTCCGAATTCACATGGTCAAGGTTTGAAGCGATTCGGTACACCCAGTTTGGAGAAAAGCTTCGTAAACGAGACCTCTTTGACGCTACTTTGACATCACCTTAAGCTTAGCTATATATGCTATGCTAGCTATTTTGTATTCTTTTGAAGTAAAGTGTATTACGCAAGGCGGCTCGCAACCCTTCGGCAAGCTTCGAGGAACGCGTAAGTCCATTTTATCGATACGCCATTGAGCTCGTTTCCATTTTCGCGGTTACGCAGCTCGCTTCGACTCGGCAAAGGACTCGGGGCTGTCGTAAACGCGGAACGGATTGCGAAACTCAGATTGCATTTCGCAGAATGCTTTCGGTCCCCTTCCAATGAGCCTGCCCTTCGAATTCCCACTCGCTGGGATCGTTTAAAAATTCTCGTCGTGGTCACAAGAAATTCTTTTCCGAAACATTCCATTGAACGAGGGTGACTCCTTCGCGATGCCATAACCTCCCCCTCGATGCTGGATTTTACTCCCGGGAATTCGTCTTTCGGCGATCGATTCCCGGATTTCGTTACATTCCAAGTCACCTTGGCTATAAACTATTCCTCGGTAGTCTAGTGGTCAGTAATTCCCTATGTACCTCACCTATTCTCGAGGGGATCGTTTCTTGTGCCCCTTACATCCGTGGAACCTCCGACACGCAGGACCTGCGGAAGAAGAATGCTTCGCAAGCGTTGGTTATGCGCCTCCACGCGGAGAAAGACTGAAGCTCGATTCGAACGTTCTCGAAGCGTCCCCATCGCCGTATCCTCCACGGCGGCATGTACCACTGTTCCGCAAGTGCACTGAAAGGAAATGAAAATTTACCGAGCCAAGAGAATATGTCGTTAATTGCCAGGAATAATTTCTAATCAACTCGAATGAATTGTCGGGTTTTCTCGAAGGAACGCCGCGTCCAATTTATTCGAGGTTATTTGAGAGGATTCTTTTAAATTAACGAGATATCTCTTTGGTACCATTCAATGAAGTGGTTCGGTGAAATTGACCTCTCAGGGTGGCGCCTCTTCTTCGGACCCGACTGACCGGCCCTCTTTCGGTTTCTGTTCCAGAGCCGAAGAAGGAAAAAACCGAACAGAGTGCAAATGGCGCGATCTCGCCGAGCGGCGAACTTCCCAGTCCGGGAACAGTGGTACCAACCGGCGTGGTTCCCGCGAGCACCGGATGCGTCGCTGGCGTCGCGCTCGTTGCCGGGGACCAGCAGAAGCCTAACCGACCCAGACGACTGAGCGCCTCCGGGAAAACCACCAGGAGGTTCCTCTGTTATCACGGTGATCACTGTACGTCTCGGGATAACCCGATGGAGAATCCACCGTAGAAAATCGGCCCTTAGAGACTATGACGATAACCGCGACTCCCATAGACCGTTCCACCCCATTCTCCGTCAGCTTCTCGACTTCCCTTCTCCACGTTCTCTTCACCCGTCGAAGCGTACTCCGGAGAAGTTTCTCAGGTCTGGACAGACTTCGATGTCCCGCCCCGTCTAGTGGAGTAGAATCCGAGATTACTTTAGAGACCTTTACCTGGGTTTGCTTAGCTCGATTCCGATAATTGGTTCTCAAGGACCCCGACCGCTTCCCCGGTAACCCTGGAGGCCCTTGCGAGGTGTTTCCTTCTGGGGTCCAGAGAGGTTCCCCGAGGAAGGCCCCCCGAGGGGTCCTTTGTTTTCCCCGGCTTCGTCTCCGGATCCGCGAAGATTTTTCATTTTAAAATGCCGACCTCGCCCGCGAGACCGCTCCCATCCTCTATCGAGCGCCTTGAGTTTCCACAATGGCCTCGCAGGCGCGGAAATTAAAGGTGCTTCATTAAAAAAGTCATAGCCTTTCGCCCGGATAAAAGAGAACCCGCCCGGGCAGGGGCGCTGCCAACTTTCTCGGGATTTTTACGATTGTTTTAACGAATCTCCCCCATGCTAGGGGGAGAGGGAGAGAGAAACCCTCTGCGAGAGAGACCTGGGTAAAATCGCCCACCGAAACCCTCCTTTTCAAAATTCACCCGATTTTTCAAACGATGATCTTACCTTGATATCCCCATAAATACCACGCCAAGGGAAAAGAAAATTCATTTGAGCGAAGAAATATTATGTCGAGTCAAAAAATTATTTAACTCAAAACGGCAAAAAAATCAATTTTTTTTTCATGTAAAAAAAACACCAGAACATTGTCTTGGGAAAAAAATAAAATTCTCGATTATATTCCAGGGTGAAAAATTATAGTAGCTTAAAATACAACGCCGCTCGAATTATCTCGAGTGCACCAGTTAAGGGGTTAAATAAAATGCGTGTGGCAGTCAAAGTGTTAATAGAGGAAGGGCACCTCGGACTCACCAAGAGTGGACCTTCCGGAATCCGGAATTTCCCCATTAGTCGGTTCAATTTCCATGTCGTTGCTCCACTTTTGCATATATGCCTAAGCGATAACTCAGTCTGCCCGAGAGGGATAGTTTGGAGGGATGGCTAATCGGGGTTCCCCCGGAACTTTGCACTTTGCAGTGCCGGAAGGAGGTCATCAGGGCACGACGCCGCCGGGGCAGCAGCAGCAGTCGCAGCAGCAGCAACAGCAGCAATACCTACCCCTGCCCCCGCAGAACACCCTGACGCTCTCGGAGCTCCCGGAACCGCCGATACCCCTCAGCGAGATCGGCCCGATCCCACCCCCGCCGATGTTCAGCTCGCCGAGTCCGACATTGTTGGCTCGACAGCAGCAACAAGGAACCGGAAGTGGGGTCCAGAACGCGGAGCCCCTCGACCTATCCGACTACGACTACGAGGGTAAGTCTCCTCGCAAGGTGTGGAGGGCCTTAAGGTGAAGTGAAACACCCTTCGAATCAGTCGATTCGAATATAACACTTTTTTTTTAAGGGTATTAGACCAAACTGTCCGAAACTTTGACACATTGCTCCTGATCGTCTAAGAATTGTCCTGACACGTTCAAAATTTGGATTTTTTTGGAAAAAATTGTTTAACTTGGCTCAGACCAGAACCAAAATGGCGACGATCAATATACAATTATCAAAGGCTCTGATATGAGAATCGAAAGGGTCAGGACAAGTTTACGACGATTTAGAGCACTTTGATAGTCGATAAACTCACATTTGAACGGGATAAGTGCAAAAGAAGTGTTGTATACGCTTCTCAGAGGATTTCTAGAGTTTTACTTCGATTTCTTGATAATTATTGTACGGAAACGACAGGTGGAGTATGCCATTTGGTACAATACCGAATATAATTCGGTATAGCTGTCGATATAAAAACCAACGTCGGCAACGTAGGCATTTAGAAAAATCTTTATCGACGTGTTTCACTTCACCCTAAGAGGGTGGACCTTCGGGTTTCTTCAAGGATTCTTTTTATCGCAGATCAAGAGGAGGTCGACGGGGCCGAGGACGAGGAGGACGACCGGTACATCTGCAGGGTATCGCAGCCGGACTCGGCGATAGACACCTCGCGAGTCGAGGAGATCCCTGCGAAGGAGCCCAAGTTCCACGCGATGCCCCTGAAGAGCGCCCTGAAGAAGAAGGGCCCGGGGAGCGGGCCCGGGACCCCGCAGAACACTCCCACCCAGGAGAACCGACCGCTTACGCTTCGCCAGGAACTCCACGCGTCCTTCAAGTAAGTCGGGACCGACCTTTCGATTAGTCCCGATTAATGACGATTCCATTATCTCGTAGAATGGAAATATCAAACGATTAAGATGATATGAAAGGCGATATGACGTCGATGAAATGAAATTCATCCGTGGCATTTTTTTTGGTGGTAATGTCATTTTGATCACTCGAGTAAGAATGATCCTGGAACGATTTGACTTCTCATATATATATATATATATATATGTGTGTGTGTATATATAGGCTGACTCTTTCATATCACCTTAAGGTGATGCGAATGTGAGGTCTAAGGGTCTCGTTTATTGGACTTTTCTGAACGATCGACTTCTCAGATGCTGCTCAGATTTCCCATCGCCTTAACTCGAATCGTTCTTCGTCCATCCCCCATAACATGTCTCGTTGAACGCAATCGATTTACCTCGACATCGAACGGAAGTGTAAGAGAACAACCTCGGGTCGTTGTTCGTGCACCCCCCATGACATGTCTCGAGCACTAGTAAAGGCAAACGTGTTTTTCTTATGCTTAACAGGAGGCCGCCATTGAGGCCTAGGATAAGAATCTGGTAATTTGACGAACAAGCAGACCTTATTAATCCTGATATCAAAGCATGCGCGAGATGTACACGTCGCTTGACCTCACCTCGAATAAGGTTGATCCTGAGGGACCAAAATGTTCTGACTCCTCGATCGGCGGCATGGAACTGCTCGACTGTCTTAAGCATGAGAAAACCTTAGGGAAATTCACCCCGACCTCTCCATACCATTTCTCATCATCTTCCGACCTTACTTCACGTACTAATTCACCCTTTTTTCGCCCTCTCCTCGACTCCAAAGGGAGAGAAAGGAACCTCTCCCTCCACCCTGATCAACTCGCGTCCTGGATGTTCCTCTGTCTAGACCCTCCCAGGATTGGCAACCTTTGATGGAATCGCCCTGACCCGATCGATACCAACCCTGAACTACATTAATCCCATATATTCCCGCTTACGAAGCGCTACATGGTCGCGTAGAGTAGAACATTGGTTCGCCCACGTATCAACCACCAGGAAGCCGATCGCCAGGGTCCTCATTCCTTCGTTTCTTTTTCCTCTGTCTCCACAGCAGCCGACCTGGGAAGTTCGGCCTGGCCCTGCCGTGCACCTTGGAGAACAAGGAGAACGCGAGACCCTACGTCATCCCGGAAGACCCTGACGGCGACTCCAATGACGGCCAGGTCCGCGGCAGGGAGGACTACGAGGACGAAGAAAGTAAGGACCTCCTCTGGAACGTAATCCTCTGTTTATTTCTTCTCTTTAGGGGACTTCTCCGCTATTTTCTTCTCTCGAGGTCGAGGGGAACCGGAGGATATGTCCTGGTGGGCGTCGCAGAAATAAAACCCGCTGCTGGTATTTAGAGATCTTCCCTGCTGGTTAATGGAACCGGGGGTGATGACAAATCGACCGGAGGAGGTGGACTCCTTTCCCCAGAATTTCCAGACCTGCGGAGAGGCCGGGCAAAGTCGCAAAAAGTCCGATCGTCCCAATATATCGATCATTCGCGTCTCAAAGCTCGGCTTTCGAATTAGCCTTCGCGTCGCGACGCACTAATTATATCCTCGCGCAGTCGCGTTCAAGGCGCCCCTCGACGTACGTCTATGATTATATTAATCCTCGAACATCTTTTGGTGGGCTTAGTGGGTTCCTGGCCGTTGTTTTATCCGCCGACCTCGCCATTGTTGCTCTTGACGTTCGCGGCGAGCCGAGATAGCCGACTCGCGGCTTTTGCAATTCCTCCCACGCTCGTTAAGGTGACGTAAAAGCGGCATCTAAGGCGTCTGTTCATCGTTTATGAACCTTTACTCCGGACTGAATCTACAGAATCGTTTGACATTTCATCACGTGAACGCGGAGGGCCCGCAAAGGCTCGCTTTGCCCCCGAAATTCTATTTTCTAAGCTGAATTAAAAATTTCTCCATAAAAAAAAGGATTTAAATTAGAAATTTCACGAGGGTGAATACCTTCTTCGTGGCCTCTGTAATCACATTGCAAAGTTTCAAACGATTCGGTACACCCTGTTCGGAGGAAAGTCGAATAAACGAGACCCCTTAAGGGGATGTGAAAGTGGCACTTAAGGGGTCAATTGTTCATGTAACTTTTCTCCAAACTGGGTGTACCGAATCGTTTGAAACCTCACAATGTGGATATTGAGGCCATAAGGAAGGTCCTGACACCCGTGGAATTTCATTTTTCTTTTATAAATAATTTTTAAAATATCTATAAAGAAATTTAAAAAAGAAAAATGAAATTTCATGAGTGCCAGAACAACCTTTATGGTCTCCGCATTCACGTGGTAAAGTTTAAAACGATTTGGTACACCCAATTCGGAGAAGAGTCTTATTAACAAAATCTCTTGGAGGCCACTTTCACATCACCTTAATGTGTGCAATTTTTGGTAAGAAGGTGGAATAAGTTCTGAATAGATCCAGACCTCTGTTCGGGAGATTCGGCAAGGGGATGACAGTATGTTGTCAATATGGACAGTTTCGACGTTTTCGGTCGTCCAGGGTGCCGCCGATCCCATATTTGGGGTTGCTCCTTTGCAGAGAAGCGTCAGCTGTTCTTCGCTCCTCGAGGGTAATGGCCCCAGAAGGGGGTCGTTTTGGGGAGGAGAATGTTGAAAATTTGACACCTTCTCTTTTTTCCAGGTCGACTGGCAGCCAAAATCGCGCGTAAAGAGTCGCTCTCGTTGAAACTCGCCCTTAGGCCCGACAGGCAGGAGCTGATCAACAGGAACATCCTGCAGCTGCAGTCGGACAACGAAAGGCAGGAGACGAAGGAGGCCATCGGGGCTAGGCTAATAAGGTAAAATAAAAATCAATGTTTCTCCAGAATGTCCCGGATTTGAAAGCAGAGTCGCGCCATGAGTCAATAGTTTGTTTCCTTGCAATCCGGACGTGGACTCGACGCCGTCCTGGAGCACGTAGCTGCAGTCGAGAATAAATAACGCCGCAATGTTGCTCGGATGCTGATGGCTTGTTTTTCTTTCAGACGACTGAGCATGCGACCGACCCAGGAGGAACTGGAGGAGCGAAACATTCTCAAAAGTAAGGAACCTCGAGTCTTAAAGTCCCTCAACCCGGTTCCCTAGGTTGGTTATACATTCGGACGCCCTTTTTCCCCATATTTTCTTATCCGCAGAGCAAAGTCCGGCGGAGGAGAAGAAGCAGAAGGAGGAGAAGAAGAGGTACCTCATTCGGAAGCTCAGCTTTCGACCTACCGTGGAGGAACTGAAGGAGAAGAAGGTACCGTGCGCGGAGACCCTAGGAACCTCGAGGCGGCCATCTTGGATTTCATAAGATCGTCAGAGGCGAAGAAATCCCATGAAATCCTTAGTCGGTATTTTCCGAGGGACATTTCCCAGCAAAGACTGGCATCGGGAGACACTAGGTCCCTTTTTGTGAGGAATTTCCTCGCCTCTGAAGCCATAATTCAAGATGGCCGACCAGGGCCTTAAGAGACGTTCCTATTCCCTCGGGGATCGGGCGAACTCCTGATGTCAGACTGGAACCGTAATCTTTACAGATCATCAGGTTCAACGATTACATCGAGATGACTCTAGCTCACGATTACGATAGAAGAGCGGATAAGCCATGGACCAGGCTGACGCCGAGAGACAAGGCTGCCATCAGGAAAGAGCTCAACGAGTTCAAGAGCTTGGAGATGGCTGTTCACGAAGACAGTCGACACCTGACCAGGTGAATTTGCGGTGCTTAATTTATCTACGGGTCTTTGGACACCATTTAGTTCGATTGAGGACAACTCAGATTGTTCTTAGTGACAGACCTATTTTCTCGTCTTCTGTTTCAGGTTCCATAGGCCATGACAATTGCAATGTGTAGAGGTGCTAGAGTGTGGTGCGGGTGTGGTTGCAGGTGCAGTGCAGTGGTCTGGGTCAGACCAGGTGTATCAGTATCGTTACTCCACGAGTAGCTTAGCGTGTACGACAGTGGCGGCGCTACCGGCGTCGGCTTGAAGCACTGTCAAACTCGTCGACGTCTCTCGTCGGTGAAGATTGTGATAGGGTGGTCTGCTCGATGGAAATTCAGCGGTCCACTCACCGAACTCAAGGGTCGTCCTCATGGGACGAGGACGTCGTACCTTTCGCTTTCCAGACCGATCTCTGCTTCGCGTTGACTCAACCCCGAGGTATAGGAAACTCATCCCCAACCGTGGGACGTTGAATAATTCTCTAAGACACGAACGGCACATCTTATGGGACTTTAAGGGGATGTGAAAGTGCCACCCGAGAAGCCAACCGTTCAAGAAACTTTCCTCCGAACCGGGTGTACCGAATCGTGTCAAAATTGACAACGCGGATGCGGAGACCATTGGAAAGGTCTCGACACCCGTGTAATTTCATTTTCGTTATGCTGAAATTTTTTTTAACAATTTCCTGGGGGTAGGGACCTTCCTTATAGTCTCTGTATTTACGGTGCAAAGCTTCAAGCGATTCGGTTTATCCGGTTTGGAGAAGAGTTTCGGAAACGAGACCTCTTCGGTGCCGTTTTTCGTCCCCTTAAACGCCCGTTTGGCTGTTCCGGAGTCAATGCGAAGAGCGATTCTTTATTTAAGACACTTCCCATAAGGTACGACGGGGTCGAGTGCCCATGTGGACGCACCTATTTGCAGTAAACACCATTTGCGACAAGCTAGCTCGTCCTTGTTACCTGGCCGATCGTTCCTTTTCTACTTTCGCTCCTTTAAATCGTTCTCCTTCATTTTTAACACGTAGATCACTTTCTACCAAGAATATAAGAGGTATCTTTGAGACTTTGCCGAGAGCCCGTAGTGTTGGGGGCGATTAATGTTGTACGTCTTGTGGCCGGAGAAATTGTTGAATTTTTAAACGAGAAATCAGCCCCCTGAGGAGTGCTCTTTATTTGGATATTTATTATTAAAGGGTCGGAGCGGAGCATCTTCGGGCCGTTGCTCTAAATGTAACGCCTCAAGGTGTTGCTACTTTTCTGGGCAGAGGCATGGTTTTTTCTTTTTCTTGCGTCTTCTTTTTTGGAGCATGTATTCGCATTGGTCTTCCGGCTCGTGATTTTGTCTCGTTTCGTGTCGAATTAATGTTCTGTCGAGTTTCTCTTTCGGCCGAATCGATTGTCCGATTCGAGGCGCATTGCCAGGTAACACCTTCTTTTCGCGGAGCGACTTGTACGGCAAACGCTTACGGTTATTATTATAATAAATCGATTATTGTACGCGCGAGAAGAGTGCATTGTGCAATTATAATTTGTACGTGAGTACATACGTGCGAGGATAGCGATCGATAGTTCTTGATTACTCTCGTTGTCGCGGATGATTTTACCTTTGCAAAGGCGTGCGTGCGATACTCGCCGTTTATTTCGACTGCCCGCTGACCTCAGCTCTTTCTCGGGACTTCCGCCGACATTTTGAGTGACGGCTACTCAAAAGGTCGGCACTTAAATATTTATTCATTTAGTAGGAAGCGAGACGGAGTTGCTCGTTCCTTTGTTGCCTTTAAGCAACGTCGGTGTAATGAACAAAACAGGGGGGGGATGGCAAAATTTGCATTCGGAGACTCTACCGGTAGTCGCTAAAACGAGATAGACGGTAAGGGTACTTCCGTTAACGAGGAGTTAGAAAAAATTGGCCGTTGCAGCCAACGCCGGATGTTAATGCACTAACGACTCGTCCCCGATAATTCGACCTTCAATGGCAGCTTCGATGTTCGTTACGAGATTAAGGCATTTCTAACGCATAAGTAATCCCGCCTAGCATAAAACAATATGGAGGAAGTCGATTCGTTGCGATGGTTTCGCGAAAACATTAGTTGTCCCTGTTAACGAAGTCGTACCTTTTCGGAAACTATATACATATAAATATATATATATATATTTTTCTTTTTCTTCTACGCGAGAGAACGATTCTCGTTATTTCGAGGACCTTCGGAGAACCTTTGGTGGTCAGCGCCGCGCTTCGATTTCCTCGGCGGAGACTAGAGGAACTAAATGGACGTGGAGCCAAGAGCTAGTCTTCGCTCCTCCGAATTTTTCGGGAATACGAGGTCGTATCGAATTTTCCACTCGATTAGCGACTCTCGCGGGAAAATTATATGAAGCTTGCCCTCTCGATACGTCACCTCAACAGTTCGATATTAATTGCCAACGTAGACTTGGAGAGGACGAAGAGCGAAGGAGGGAACTCGCTCTCGAGGTTTCATCAGGCGAGCGGAAGTCAAGCAAAATCGAAGCGTTCAAAATGGCGAGCAATGGAAACTGCGACAAAACCCACGAAATATGCAGAGGATGCATCCTTAAAGGTTTCTCGTTGGACCATTTCCGCCAATTGTACGCAGGTATGACTTCTTCCCACCTGATGGACGACCGGGAAATTACAGAGACAAGAAAAAGGGGAAAAAAAAATGGCGTCCTGAAACCAACTTCAGGGTCGATTTCCCGAAAGAGCGAGAGGCGAAAGGCTCATTTCCGAAACATAACGAGAGGGATAAAAAGAGAGAGTGTGAGAAAAAGATATCTAGGTCTTGTTGTAAATATATAAACGCGCGTAGAGGTAGTCAGGCTACTTTACGAATAAACGCGCTGTTAAACACAAAGATGACACATCCTTGGAAAAGAAAACCACACATACACACACACATACACGCAGCAATTATAAATATTAATTCTAGGCACGACGCTCCCTAATGCAAATAATTACATACCGCGTATACATAATATAAATATTATACATACAGGATGAACAAGGAGTATATATATAGATTATATATATATATATTATATATATATATATTGCCGCGTAAAGAAGCAGTATGTGCATTTTCCAGCACAGAAAGTTGGTATTTTGTGTACAAAAACTTGGGCGCGAACGGGGCAGGGGGGAGGGATAGGGAAGGGGGGCTACGAGGAAAAAAGGAAATGCAAAGTGGCTTTCTTTTTCGGAAAATCGGGAATGGCCGAAATCCAAATCCCTGTCGACTCGCTTCGCTTCGATCCGCCTTTCTTTCATTATTTTTTTTCCCTCGAAGTCGAGCGACATTTAATTTCTGGTCGATGTTGCGATGGTGGAAAAACGTAGCGATGTGACGTAGCGGATTTCCCATGACGTCATTTTTTCGGTGGGATGTGTAGGGACAGGCTAAAGTGTGCTTTTTATTCTCGCCGTCGAAAGGCGCGTTCGAAGGAAGCGAGCTCGTACGAGATACCGTGAAAATGTTCGACGTTCATTTTACCCAGAAATTGTTTGTCCTTGTTCTTCAACTCATCCGACAGGATTGGGTTTATCGTTTTTTTTTTGGTCCCCTTTTAAATCGGTTCCGTGGGATTCGTTTGCGTTTCGGCGAGGCGGTGGATTTATGGAACTGCTTTAAGATTCGCCATTTTAACGACTGGCCGACGACTCGGTCGTTGGCTCCGAGAGGAACGACCGATTGGTTGGCCTCATCCAGGAGCAGAAATTAAGGAGAGCATCCTCTCGAGTAGTACCTTGTCGATTGTTTGGAAAGTCGCAATAAAGGGAGCTCGTCGGTCCCGAGGTCCGTCGTAAAGGGCAGCAAAGGGACAGACCGGCGGCCCGAGAATATGTACCATTAACTGTCGATTAGCCTGTAACATAATGTAACATTGTAACGTTGCTTGGCAGAGGGTAGCGAAGAAGCTGAAACGAGGGTCGAGAGATTCGCAATCCGAGACAATCCGAATTTTTTACAATAGTAGCCTTTAGGATTACTCGACCGAGGCTCCGCCACGTCGAGGAACGTTTCCCTCCCCCTAACTTTTCTACTAAACGCTTGCACGATGTCCTCTTAAAGCAGTTGCATAAACTTACCACCCTGTACACCGTGAACAGAGTGCACTGCCGTAGGCTGAATTAAGGGGATGCGAAAGTGCCATCCGAAGGCTCAATCGTCCATGAGACTTCTCTGCGAGCCTGGTGCACCGAATCGTTTCAAACCTCACAACCTGAACCCGGAGACCACAAGGAAGGTCCTTACCCTCATGAAATTTCATTCTTTATTACACAAAATTTTGAAAATATCAATTAATACATTTTTCTTAAATCTGCCCTAATGGCTGTCAGAACCTTCCTTACAGCCTCCATATTCACATTGCCAAGTTTGAAACTATTCGGCACCCCCAGCTCGGAGAGATAAGTTTCATTAACGAAGACCCCTTTGACAGTACTTTAACATCCCCTTAACGATAGGATTTATTCACACCGAGGCGATGTACAATGGCGGACATGAATGCCTCCCCTGCAGACACGGCATCGCCTGTGCAGGACGGGAGGGCATTGATGTCTCCCAGTGCACTCCATGATGGGCATACCGGAGAGCCGATAAAAAGTAGACCGAAGCTCGCCGAGGCTAGAGTTCCGCATTGGAGAGATCTTCATTCGGATTTCTTCGACTGGTTGAAAGTCCAGCTCTCGAGAATGGCAAGCTCTCGGTGTCTGGCCGATTCTACATGTAAAGTAGAGATAACGATAAAGTTAGGTACCGACGTAAGTCAGGTGGGGCGGGAGGGGCAGGGGGAGGGGGGGGCGCCATAATTGACGAAGTACAGTAAATAACTAGGAAGGCGATCATTAAGGGGAGCGGAAGGGGCCGGTTAAACTTTCGGGATTTTTACCAAATGACTCCGCCGATCGGGGTGGTCGAAGCGAATCCTGGTTAAGTCGACGGTCGACGGTCGTTCGCTGCGTCCTGCGGCCCTAGGGAAGTCGTCTTCTAGGATCCTTCAAAATGGCGGATTGGAGGTCGTCGGGACGAGGAGCGGCCCGACGACCTTCCTTTGCGGACGAAGGAACCCCCTCGATGGCCGTCGATGGCGACCGATTGTCGAGGTTTTGTATACACGACGTAAGATAGCTCGAGGAGAACACTGTATTATATCGAAAGCAAGGAACCCTCTAGAGTTTAAGAGTACTACTGTATATATATATATGACTATCACTGTAAACTTGAAATGAAAGGCGAACTCGGGCTCGCGATTGGACTGGCTTAAGGGCGGACGTAAAGAAACATTCGGACCGCTCGTTGGTCGACCCTTAAGGGCGTCGTCCTCTCGAGCGCGCAAACGAATTATTTTCCTTTCTTCTTTGTTACATTAGTTTATACGCGCTACGATTATTGCAATTTATTGTATCATTAACGAGAACACTGTAACAAACGAGATACTGTTAACTATTCTTAACAAAAAAATTAAAACTTTTGTAAACTGACTCTCCGTAGCAAAGCGATCTTGTCGCCCTCTACGTCGCCTCGTTTTGAGGGAGAAATCGGTGATAGAGAGATGTCGAAGGCTTGTCTTTTTAAGTCCTGGGTAGCCGAGGACCCTCGGCGGACGACTCTAGATCCTTGTCTCTTTTAATACATGTTTTGTATTTATTCGTTCCTCCCCCGTGACTTGTATATTGTTCTCGCAGCTGTAGAACGAAAAGAAATCATGCAGTTTCTATTCCACCGATTTTGTTCTCCTTCACCATCTTCGATTACGTTTTCAGGACCCTTCCGAGTCGTCCCAGGATTCCCTGTTGGTTCGTACGATGTGCGTGACTTTGTTGCACGGCTTTTGCCACCGGGATAACATCTCGCATCCTTAACTGGAACGGCGGTAACGTAGTTAGCGCCCCAGGACGCGGTTCTTGCGTTATTAGAAGACCCATTATATGATAATGCGGCCGAGGGGAATGCAAAATCTCGACCGATGAGCGATATCACAGGGAGGATAATAAAGAGGTAGGTGAAGCGATACTTCCTTTACTTATCGTCCTCATCCTCTGGAGGTACCCATGCCGACCGGGCTATCGAAGTCGGGGAAATCGTGCTTCGTCGAGGTCCTCCTCGCTCCTGGTTTCCGGCCGAGGATCCTAAATGGCGACACCTGTTGGTCGAAGGAAAATGCAATGAAATCATATTTCAATTACTTAAAGTGATATGAAAGGGTCATTCTATATATCAAAACGTCACGATATTTGTACAACTTTTTCCCCAAACGAATCATTTGTAACGTTAACACGTGATTATGGGGGCCCTAAAGAGGAACGCGATGCTAGTGAAATTTCCTTCTTATTTAGCCTAGAGTAGAATCAAAGGCACATTTTCTTGTGAAACAATGATACTTCACGGGCATCGCGTTTTATCAATATTTTGACGTTTTATATATATATAAAACTCGCAATAAGGCTCGTAAAAATTCTTTAGAAACGAGGAGCGAATTATTATAAGAGAAGGACGTGGAAATCGGTTGGAGAATTAGCGATTTACCGACAAGGAGCAGTACGCCCGAATGTTGTGCCCCATGTAGAACTTGACGCGTTGAAGAGCCAAAATGGAATGCAGCCTCAGTCTTGGCTCGGGTTGTAAAAGTCTCTTCAAGAGGTCCATAGCCCCTGGGGACATTTCGACGTCCGGCAGAGTCCCAGGAACCTGGTCTTCCTGATCTCCCGTGTCCGGCAGAAGGTCGGACCGCCCTCTCGCCGGATACTGGAAAAGAGAGAACCTTTACTCGCATCCCTTGTTCGTGGAGGAAATCGTTAAGTCATCAGTTTCAATGCTAGAAATCATCCGCAGAAAGTAGCCTCATAATCGGTACCCATGACTTCAGATATAGTTTCCGATGTAACGATGCGAGCGCTGCCTGCGGAAAATGTCGGAACTCCAACTCCTACATGGCGAAAAGACACTTCTCATCGACGTAAATGACCCGAAACGCCTTTAATTTTTCAATTAAGATACACTAAGTGAAACCATAATCCGCGGATGATATGCAGACCGTGATTTAAACCCGATAAAGACTAGGGGATGATAATTTTTAATTGAAAAATCTCACCGAGCCGTGGGGGGGGATTTCAATGCATGGCGTTAGATCTTATACCATTTCGTGGGTTGGTCATCGAAATGTAACAAGTCACTCCGTCCTTCGAGACCTCGGCCCCGAATTCAAGGTTATGTATTACATGGAATCAACGTCAATCGGTTCTCAGAGAAGGGGAATCCAATCCAGGAATTCAAGGTCGCCGTTTGTCACGCGATATCGACGTCGAACAGTTTTCGGATAGCCTCGGGAAGTGGATAGATGGTATAGAGGGGTTTCATTTAGCATTTTGGGGGGGCTTTTGGCGTGGAATTCCAGGCGGAAACCCGCAAAGGGGTTTTCGGAAGCAGCGGCCGTTTCGCCGGTTGCCGAGCGAGCACGCGCCGCGGCAAGGTCCACGGTCTCGCGCAGGTAGGTGCGCAGAAAGGTGCGCAGGGTCAACGGCCAGGAGCGACCGCCGGCAGTGCCGGCAGTGCCGCCAATCGGGGGCCGCGAAAAACTCCATTCGGGGAAGCGGGTCTAGGCGCGCGCGACAGGAGCCGCGCTCCTCAGAACGCGACAGGAGGCGCGAGGAGACGGATCGTTGATCGCGGCCGATCCGATCCGACTCGGAGGACCTTGACCGAGAGCGTAACGGTACAGGTCCATTATTACGAGATCGGAGATAGGTAAGGCCGGATTTACAACTCCCTCGCGTGGGTCCGCATCGGTGCAGCCTCGGACCGGCCATCTTGCTCGACCCGGCGGTACCGTTCTACCTCCGCCAGTAAATCCGAGATTAGACGTATCCAGAGAGACCGACCGGTCCTAAATCCGGGATTTAGGCGTCGATGCGATGTAAACGCGATTTACTGGATCCGGACCCGTAGTCAAGGATCGACGGAAACGAGAGTTAAGAGCTGCTCGACTCTCGTTTCGTCATCCAGAAACCCAGGGTGCGAGTAGCGGTGAAAATCTTGCTTAGAAATCGAGGCTTTCCAATTTTGAGGTTAAAGGCTCCCAGGCACCGATGCAGACCGTGGCGTCGTTCGCCATGGCTTGGAAAATCGAGAAGTACCTCAGGGCGTCAAAGGGGGGAAGAAAATCGAGAAGGGGGAGGAGGCACGGGGTATGGCGCAATTGGTCCGCCAAAGAGGATTACGGTTATTAGGGATATTATTATCCGTCTCGAGGGGAATCGGTACTTGGCGCAAGACGGGACCTAGGTGTAGCGAGTTAGGTACCGTTCGAGGCATTACCTGGGTTCAAAGCGATTTTCCTCGGGAACTAAGACTGGATATATCCAAAGAGCGAAGACCTCGGTACCGGAGATCGTTTACGGAGTTAGGAAGAAGTAGAAAGAGGGATAGAGGGACCTGGACGCGATATCTTGGAGATATTGGACGGAGGTTCCAGGTGTTTCGCGCAAGAGTTAAATGGCGCCTGGAGGAGTCCTCCTCGAGACGGGAAAAATCGGGTTCGTTGGCCTGTCTATCTCTTGGACGGGGATTTTCTTCTTTCCCGGTCCGTCCGGCTCTTGGGCGATCTCCTCCTCTCCGTCTTCGCGGCTCCTGCCGAGGGAGCGGTAACGCCGAATGCAAATGCGCCACGTCCGATGTCTCTTCCTCTTCTTCTTCTGCCTCCAGCGGCTGATTCCAGCCCAGGTAGCTAATTGCTGAGCAAACTCCGGCACTCCCTCGAGGTGCGATCCCCCGATGGCGGATCGTTAGCACCAGGTTCGCCGTAAGTGGCCGCGCAAACTCGCCCAGGAGACCTTGAAGACAACCCCGAAGAGGCTTTCCACTCGGCTGCCCCTTAAGAGGGAACGGAAAGGATTTCCTCGGAAGGGCGAACGTTCCCCCAGGTGGAGGGCTATCCTTCCGATTCCACTTCTTTAACTAGATACCGGACGTACATATTTTATTTATCCTCTTGCATGGAATAAGAAAGGGCAATTTCCCCATAAACCCGAACGTCCTTCGTGGTGGAGGACTTTCCTTCCCGTAGGACCCTTTCCACGAGGTGCCTAGCGCACCCGACATTTTCTTTTTATCCCCTCGCCTATCCTGGGAGAATTTCCCGGCGTTCTTCTCCCGTAGACGGTCATTGGAAACCACGAACGTAAAGATAAACGTCGGATAAGACGGCTCCCGTGGGATAGCTCGGCCAACTCCTCGTGGGAATGCAAGGTGCGAATACGCCCACTTTGCTGTTACATCGGCGCTATGCGGAACGGAACGGCTACCGGATGTCACGAGTCTAAAAGGAAGCCCCAAGATAGACCAGCTCTCGAGTCGCATTCGTCCCTTCTAGAGACCCTCCAGGAAGCGGCGACTCCTCCGAGTGGAGGACTCGAGTCCCTTTTCCTCCTCGAATTTCCCTTCCCAAACCGTTTAGGGTACACCGAGATGGTTCCTATTTTTCGGATGGAATCTCGAAATCGGACTCCCCAGGGGATACGGCGGTCACGGTCGGCTCGACCTCTTCGTCTTCGGATTCTAAAAAGCTCCTTTCTTCTCGGCGCTCCCTCGGCGTAGCTCGAGGCGAGACGAAGAACCGGCCTCGCGATCATCCTTACCGATTCTCCCGGGAAAAAAAGGAGGATCGCTTACGGTGTTCCCGAGTTCTCTCCTTCCTCGTCTCCCGGCTTAATACCTGTTCTTCTCTCCCTGGCGGTACGGTGCTCGAGTTCGTGGCCAGGTTCTATTCCCGGCCCGATAACGAGCGTTCCCACGACTCGCGATCGCCCCGATCGAACTCGACTTTCCGAATATAATCTTGGAGATCCCTTCTTCTTCCAGGACTCGTCTCGACAGGGAAGACGGGAGGAATCGACGACCTGGACCGTCCCTTCGTCCTCGCGTGCGGATGCACCTCGGGAAAATAGAGAAGAGGAAGCCTCGAGGGCAGCCGGTCGTAGTTAGCACACGGCAGTCGTTAGCGTCCCATTAACCAAATGCAGCGTCGAGAGCCCTAGGGAGATGCGTCGCCTCCTTGTGATCCTCTGGTAACTTATCCAGACATTTATTAAACAAATGCTGCGTTGGGTTAACTAAATGCAGCGTCCAGTCAAGAAAATCCAACGCCGAGTTAACCAAATGCAGCGTCCGGTTAACAGAGTTCAGCAGTGAATTAACCAAATGCAGCGTCCAGTTAAGAAAACCCAGCAGGTAGTTAACCAAATGCAGCGTGTTAACAGAGTTCAGCAGCGAGTTAACCAAATGCAGCGTCCGGTTAACAGAGTTAAGCAGCGAGTTAACCAAATGCAGCGTCCAGTTAAGAAAACCCAGCAGGTAGTTAACCAAATGCAGCGTTCGGTTAACAGAGTTCAGCAGCGAGTTAACCAAATGCAGCGTCCAGTTAAGAAAACCCAGCAGGTAGTTAACCAAATGCAGCGTCCGGTTAACAGAGTTCAGCAGCGAGTTAACCAAATGCAGCGTCCGGTTAACAGAGTTAAGCAGCGAGTTAACCAAATGCAGCGTCCAGTTAAGAAAACCCAGCAGGTAGTTAACCAAATGCAGCGTCCAGTTATGAAAATGCATCGTCAAGAGCCCTAGGGATCTGCATCACGTCCCGGTACCCGCGCCTTCAGGAGCGATCACCCATCCTTTCGTTAGGTTAGGCACTCGTACCATCCTCCGGCAACTTATTCGAGCTATTTATAAACCTGCTCGGCGACCGGCTCGATGGCGGCGCCAGGAGGGTGCCCGAATCCCGAGGTTCTCCCGAAGGAGTGCCGGGCCGAGGGGGCGCTTTGACGAGCCGTCGAGGACCGAGGAGGCGCCAGGATTTCTTGCGCCTCCCTCGAGAAGGACCGAGGGAAGAATGCCGGGGTAGGTACGCGTCGATTAACCTTCTTTCCGAAGAGGAGGCCGAAGAACTCGGCGAAGTACCCGACTCCTAGCGTGCCTCGAGGCTCTCACCGGCACGTAGACGAGGCGCCGATCTATAAATAGATCCAGAGGCTCCAGGGGCAGGACGAGCTCCGGATGTATTTGGAAAAAGAGCAGCAGGTTGCAGTCCTGCTCCTACGAGGAGCAACGAGACCGCGTTCTAACTTGGGCGCTCCCCCGATGGAGCTGGTGCACCGGAGGAAGTAACGTAACGACGCCGGATGATCGCTCTTCGTGGTCCAGTGGTTGGTAACCGGGTTGGATGCTGGTTTTTCAGGGGCCTAAGGACGACCCAGGTGCTGGTTTGCCTTGCAAAGGCTTTTTCGGGTCCCACCAGGAGTCCGTTGGTCCCGGTCCCGCGCAACACCCTTCTCGATCGGCCTGGCCCATCACTACCGGACGATGGGAGGCGTCCTCGAGGTCACCCGGGGGGTTGGCATTCCTCGAACTGTCCATTCGTCCCGCAACGGCGTCGGCAAGGTTGCTAGCACACTCCGGTGGTTGATAACTGGGTACGCGGGGCATTTTTCCTCCGGGGGACGATTAAGGCAATCGGCAAGAGCTGGTTTGCCTTGCGAAGGCTTTCTTGCATCCTGCTGGGAGCGATCCTCCGCCGAGGTGCACTAGCCTCCGATCCTACGGCCAGCCTCCGGCTCCAGCGGCATGGACGGGGAAATTATTACGGAGATCCGCGGCACTTCTTGCGATCCTGCGAGCCAACGAGCTCGGAGAAGAGCGTCATTACGCGTTCTATTTCCGTCCGCCTGTGCAAGGAACTCTGGAGGGCCAGGCACGGG